ACAAGGCCGGAGGGCTTATCCTCAACCAATATGGGGTCACAGGTGCGTGGTCTCAACCTGGAGAAGACGAAGGCCGGGACGAGGCCCTTGTCCTGAAGCAACATGGGGTCTCAGGTGCGTGGTCTCAACATGGAGAGAACGGAGGCCGGGACAAGGCCGGAGGGCTTATCCTCAACCTATATGGTGTCTCAGGTGTGGTCTCAACCTCAAGAAGACGGAGGCGGGGACGAGGCCGGAGAGCTTATCCTCAACCAATATGGGGTCCCAGGTGTGGACTCAACCTGGAGAAGACGGAGCCCGGGACAAGGCCGGAGGGTCGGAGGAAAGCAATATGGGGTCTCAGGTGCGTGGTCTCAACCTGGAGAAGACAGAAGCCGGAACAAGGCCGGAGGGCTTATCCTCAACCAATATGAGGTTTCAGACAGAGGCCGGGACAAGGCCGGAGGGTTTATCCTCACCAGCAGTGTGGGGTCCCAGGTGCGTGGTCTCAACATGGAGAGAACGGAGGCCGGGAGGCCGGAGGACTTATCCTCAACCTATATGGGGTCGCAGGTGCGTGGTCTCAACCTGGAGAAGACGAAGGCGGGGACAAGGCCGGAGGGCTTATCCTCAACCTATACGGGGTCCCAGGTGCGTGGCGTCAACCTGAAGAAGACGGAGCCCGGGACAAGGCCGGAATGCTTGCCCTCAACCAATATTGGGTCTCGAGTGCGTGGTGTCAACCTGAAGAAGACGGAGGCGGGGACAAGGCCGCAGGGCTTATCCTCAAGCAATATGGGGTTCCAGGTGCGTGGTCTCAACCTGGAGAAGACGGAGGCCGGGACACGGCCGGGGGGCTTATCCTCAAACAATATGGGGTCCCAGGTGTGGTCTCATCCTGAAGAAGACGGAGGCCGGGACACGGCCGGTGGGCTTATCCTCAACTAATATGGCGTCCCAGGTGCGTGGTCTCAACCTGGAGAGGACGGATACGGAGACAAGGCCGGTGGGCTTATCCTCAACCAATATGGGGTCCCAGGTGCGTGGTCCCAACCTGGAGAAAACAGAGAGGTCGTGACAGGGCCGGAGGGCTTATCCTCAAACAATCTGGGACCCCAGGTGTGGTCTCATCCCGAAGAAGACGGAGGCGGGGACACGGCCGGTGGGCTTATCCTCAACTAATATGGCGTCCCAGGTGCGTGGTCTCAACCTGGAGAAGACGGAGGCCGGGACGAGACCCGAGGGCTTATCCACAACCAATATGGGGTCCCAGGTGCGTGGTCTCAACCTGAAAAGGACGGATATGGGGACACGGCCGGAAGGCTTATCCTCAACCAATATGGGGTCCCAGGTGCGTGGTCTCAACCTGGAGAAGACGGAGGCCGGGACGAGGCCGGAGAGCTTGTCCTGAAGCAATATGGGGTCCCAGGTGCGTGGTCTCAACCTGAAGAGGACGGATACGGGGACAAGGCCGGAGGGCTTATCCTCAAGCAATATGGGGTCCCAGGTGCGTGGTCCCAAGCTGGAGAAAACAGGGAGGCCGGGACAAGGCCAGAGGGCTTATTCCCAAGCAATAAGGGTCCCAGGTGCGTGGTCTCAACCTGGAGAAGACGGAGGTGGGGACAAGGCCGGACGGCTTATCCTTAAGCAATATGGGGTCTCAAGTGCGGTCTCATCCGGAAGGAGATGAAGGCGGGGACAAGGTCCGAGCGCTTATCTCCAACCAATATGGCGTCCCAGGTGTGGTTTCAACGTCAAGAAACGGAGGCGGGGACAAGGCCGGGACAAGGCCAGAGGGCTTATCCTCAACCAACATGGGGTCGCAGGTGTGGTCTCAACCTCAGGAACACGGGCTTATCCTCACAAGCAATATGGGGTTCCAGGTGCCTGGAGGAGACGGCGGCCGGGACGAGGCCGGAGGGCTTATCCTCAACCAATATGGGGTCCCAGGTGCGTGGTCTCAACCTGGAGAAGACGGAGGACTCTTCGCCACAGCAGCCGAAGTAGTATCCTGTATCCCAACACCAATTGATTTGACGCTAGGACGCCATCGTTTGGGTAGAACACACGACGCCTAGGATGACTGCTTCCCTGCTGAGTGCCTC